CAGAATGTTGGTCAAGTTTTCTTCAGGGTAGTAAGAAATCTGTTTCCTCATCACAAGACAAACAGTGTAAGGGAAGAAGAGTGAAAATGTAAATGCATCAATAATAATCATTTTATCTTCATAAGCATTTTAAGGCGTTGCTGTCAGTTCTTATTCTGAGTTTACATATTTTCGGGGTAACATGTCTTAAAATAATTGCCATTTTATATTTCTTACTTCCACAAATTGCACCATCCTAACTTTATTACTTAATATCATCAGCATTTAAAACCAACAGCAGAGCATGTGATGTATTACTCTTGCCATTCTAACTCTTCTTCCTCTGGTCATGATCCATTAACTTCCAATATTTTGATGCTTCTTCTCAGTGGCAATAGGCATTGCAGAAGACTTTGTGTTGAACTGGCTGTTTTATGTTAAATTTTGGTTATTACCATCTGACAACTGAATGATCCTCATAAAGGATCCATTTCAAAATCCTTATTTTCTTCCTGTGTTCTTTCTCTGCAACTTCTTTCCTTACCTGTTGTTCCCATTTTGATCTCAAGTCTCCCTCCTGGCCCAGCAAGCCAATAGTTGGCTAGAATCTGCTTTCAAGAAACATTCAGTTTCATGGTGTCAAAATTTGTTTCATATCTGGGTTTAAATAGAACCAATACATAATTGTATCTATTTTATTAGTATTCTGGCTCAATTGATATAATTAATTTAATAATCCTTACTTTAATTACTTTTTTAAATATAATGTAAGTATATGGTTTGAAGCTTTCACAGTGACATAACTCAATAAAATCCTCTCAGGCAATCAGCAGCGTCAAATTTTTAAAAGGCGAAAGAAACATTTCGGGGACCATCTCTGTCCCCATCATCAGGGCTCTGATGTGAGTGGATGTTGCAATTGTCTCCCATATATGCCTGCCTCGCCAGACCCTAGCCAGTAACAGCTGGTGTGTGGAGTCAAGAGCTTGTGTTGTGTCGCCCTGCTTTATATTGGTGTTTTGACTGGATTGCTTGAGCTTTTTTGTTACTAGATACCAGGTGAGACTCAAAAGTGTAGCCTTGATCCCTATTAAAATTATTGGTATGAAGGTTAATCGCTTACTTCTTTTGTCAGGCAGTCCATATATCCTGTTCTTTTACCCAGAATTGTGATGTGTTGAGTAGACCACAGCATTGAAGCAGGACACAACATCGACTTAACATCATTTCTGGATAAAACAGCAGGATATATGGAGTTGGACCTGGTATCCAGTAACAAAAATAATTCTCAAGTAATCCAGTCAAAACACCAATAGAAAGCAGGGTCACACAACATGAGCTCTTGACTCCACCCACCAGCTGTTACTAGCTAGGGTCTGGCCAGGCAGGTATGTATGGGAGACAACCACAACATCCAATCACATCAGAACCCTGATGATGGGGCCGGAGATGGTTCCTGAAATATGGTTTTGTCTTTTAATCGTTTGGCATGGTTGATCACCCGAGAAGATTTTATGGAGAGTATAAGTAATTTGCCAGAGTTGCTATTCATGCTGAAATAAAGCATACATTGAAGGTACAGTTATATGGTATTCATGAACATGAATAGTCAGTCACTCCTGATCTTCAGTTGTCATGTTTTTAAAAATTTTCTCATGTGTTGTGTCATCTAAATATAATTGACCAGAGATGGGGATTACTCTGGACACAGATCAAGTATTTCCACTTTAAGCATGTACAGCAATGTTGCGTTGCAACCTGTTGAACATGCAGGCCAACGTAGCTCATTGTTACATTTGATAGTTCCAAACATCATCATGGGTGCAGATAAATACAGTATTCCTAAATATAATTGATACAGAGGTCGCACGAATCACTGTTAATTTTTGTTGAAGGCAGGCATGACAGTTGGGGAATCGTGGTGCATCACATGATTGAAGACAAAGATGTTATGAGCGTTCTGCAAAAGCTAGAATGGTCAGTAATTTTTACCTTAAATATTTCTGTTGTGCTGTGCTGTTTCTTCAGAGTAATACTCTTTTTCAGTTATGAGATAAAGATTCTTATGATGCACTGTGGGCTACACTGAAGCAATAACTGTGATGTGCATTACCAGCAACATGATACTAAGTTAGTATTGCACATGACTTCTCAGTCAATTTCAGTACAAATCAAATAGTGGTAGTCTAGAGGAGTGATATTAGTCATTTCATGTAGTGGTTATGCAAGGTTTATTTCAAAAATATTTTAGAGCTATTTAGGATACATAGTTTTCATGGAGGTGTAGGCAAAGTATCCCAAATTATACTTCATTTTAATTACTTAAATATACACATAATTACATTATTTCCAGCCAAAAGTTATTTTCCCTGTCTCTGTGTTGCATACCTTCCCATTTCATCAACAATTTAATCGCCCAAACTGTATTAAAGCGTAACCACGAAGTTTCTAGTTGCATAATTTTTTCCCATCCCTCTGTTTCTATTCCTTGTGGCCAGACATTCTCTTGCAACTTTGCTTTTGAAGACAGTTCTGTTCCTTCTTCAGAAGCAAAGTTTTGCACTTCTTTAAAACTGTCAGTAGAATTACACATTTTAATTTGTTATAATAGAAGAGAAGAATTATTGATAGCATGCACAACCTGAGCTTATTTTCCTTATAATTTTGTCACGAGTATGTCTGTGACATCAAGTTGATACTTCACCTATTCAGGGAAGGCCATTACACATTGAAAATCAGGAGTTGTGATTTTTTTCTTCTTCCCAATCTTGAAGGAATTATAAACATTTTATGTCTTAGTAGAATGGTGTGACACATTGTATGTTATTGTGCCATTTATATTTTTAAAGATGTACACATATCATAGTGAAAAATATATTGATACCAAATTTGTGTGTGAACTATGATGGAAATGCAACAAGAGCTATCAGATTATGTGAGAGACAATTTACAAATGTCCAATTGCCAAATGTTTTCACACATGCACAGATAATTTCTGACTCCCATGTTCAAATGTCTGTAATTTCTCTAATATTAAGATATTAAGGCAGAATGATTGATCTTTCTTTTCAGCTTGTAATGACATCTGGTAAGTGTAGGTGAAGTATTGACATAGGTGATTCATACTGTTGTGTTGTCTTTATTTGGCCATGTTCAAAGACGGACATAATCATTTCTGTCACCAGATGCAATGTACTTTACAGGTTGAATAGTGAGTGAACTTGTTTTATTGACGTGGTGAATTTGAATCAATCACTTATGCAATACTGTTTTATATTATAATTTAGTTTATTGTTATCTTCAAAAAAAGGAAGATATGTTGGACTGTGCTTGTCAGTAGGGTAGAGAAGACTAGGAATGCGTGTCAAAATTTGTGGGAAAATCTTGGACATTATCAGTTTGGAAGAACAAGGATAGGATTGAAGGATTTCATTCAGATTAGTTTTTAAGAGGATGGGTTTCGATGATGGGAGATGGATTGGGCTCAGGATTGTGTCCATTGGTGGGCTTTGGCATTTGTGGTGTTGACCTCTAGGCTTGATAGGTTAACATCTTCAGTAGGTTTCTTAAAATATGTCATGGTAGAAAAACATATATGTCTTGATTTGTAAAATTATGCTTACATTGTTACAGATTGAGAGTAGAACTTGATGCTTTTATTTTTCTTTTAAATTTTCTCACTTCCATTCAAGTCTGCTCTTAAAAATGGTGTTTATCCTCAAAAAAGGTGGAACAAATATTGTATATACAACATTTTAAATATTTTTGTGAATATTTATTATGAAAACAGAAAAACTAAGTGGCCTGCAAATTGCTTTTGTATAGAAAGGAACTTGAATTTATAGTTTTGTGTATTGTCTATACCAGTATTCTGCAACCTTGTTTCACCCATGGCACACCCTAATGCTGCCTCATGAAAGGGGGGTATGAAACTATACATGGCAATAAATATGCATCCACATATAAATACTTGTCTTACAAGAATGTAATTATATAAAAACAAAACATTGCATTTGTTGGATAAAACTATTGATGAGCCTATATGGGTATATTACAAATTTTAATTACAGAAAATAAGATAATGCCATTTTCTAACTATGATGTGGGAATGTGAAATATCTTATAAAATTATTGGCTCATCCGAACCTTGTAGTGGTACATTGGTTGTGGAACATTGGTCTATGTGAAAAAATGTTCATATGCAAAGTGGCCCTCAGACTGAAAGAATTAATACCACATGTTTAAATTAAACTGTGTACATACGCAATGTAAGATAGCCACTTAACATGTAAAAAATAAAATTGTGTGTGTGTGTGTGTGTGTGAATGCCCTTGTTGTGTAATATACGTTTGTTGTATCATTTTATTATAACAGCTTTTTTTTTTCTTGCTGAGCTTGGAGAGGAAATGTCAGCAGTCTTATAAAGTCACAGCATATATATCAAATCAAATTCTCTTGCAGCTGCAAACTTCTTTGTGTCTTGAAGATGACTCGTTTGGGTTGTAGCACCATGTAGTCTGGTAGAAGTTTACTGACATTGGGGTGCCCTGATGATGGAGGCGTCAAGTACTTTTCAGATGCCAGTTAAATTCATCAGACTGCATGGTGCTACAACCCAAAAGACTGTCACCTTCATACTCACCAGTGTGAGAACCTCAGTTCCTTCTTTGTGTTTTGTTTCTTTGTAGATCCTTTGTTTCGGCCATACTCTTGAAGAAAAACATTGAAGCAGTCTGTGGAGGTAGTTTTCTTTTTTTGAATCAGTCAAACTTTGTGTGATATGCATTTATAGTGTTCCACATTGTAATACTTTTTTCTTTTCCCTCTACACTTAACTTGAAACATTTGTTCCAGGGTAGCATATTTCCATTAAAGCAGCAGATTACATAACAAACATCATGTGCTAGATTTGATATGTGTTGCTTCTATGAGCTTATGCAATATAGAAGTTCATATATATTTGTACAGGTGTAAGTAAACGTTATTTCTTGTACTATATAGAGGTTATATAATTGTTGCAGAAACAGTAAGCAGATTAACGTTCCATGGGAGCAAAGATGCGACTGGGGATGGAAAGGTGAGATTACTTGCTTGGTATGTTTTAATATGCTTTAACTTCGAAATGGATTTTTTGCTGCAGAGGCTTCTATGATTGTTTAATACTGTAACTGAGTAAAGTAATATTTTCCACAAACAAAAGAATTATGATTTGGGTAATGATGAGTATAACTAGGGTTGGAAAGAAAAAGTGTTAATGGGCATTGTGAAGATGTGATCTGGGGTGATCAGTGGTGAGATTTGGGGTTCATAGTATGAAATCTTTGGGTTTTATTACTATATAATTATATAACAGTTTATGATTTATAGAACCAGTATAGCGTAGCGAGTATGACTAGACAACTGGTTTTCAATTCCTGGTAGGGGAAAAGGATTTTTCTTTTAGCTTCTACATCCAGACCAGCTCTGGGGTCCACCCAGCATCCTATCTCTTAGGTACCAGGGGTTCTTTCCCCCAGGAGTGAAACTTAGCCACGACATGGGGCTGACCATTTAACTACTTCTTGGTGTGTGTGTTTTATTATTATTATTATTATTGGGCCAAGAACAAGTAGGAGCTGTATCTTCTCTCTACCGCTTGAGCATCTTCATGGTGTGTATCAGGGATAGTAACTTCTGCTTTTATAATAATATGATTTGGTACCTTCTGAAAATAGTAAGAGGAATGTGTGAAAGGGATAATTTGACATCTGTTTTTCTTTAAATACTATCAGCTAATCATATGTTAATGATATGTTTCCTTATTTAATGTAAGAAATTTTATTGTTGTAGTAATAGTAGTATTAGTAAAATTCTTATATTTGCTTCTGCATCTATGAAATATTGCTGAATGAAAGGCAGTGAAAACAGTGCATTTTTGCCTAATTATTATTCAGTGGTTTTATGTTGTGTTGGTTGTTTGGTTGTTACTGACGTGTTTTGTTTTATAAACCAGAACAAGTCCTTTGATGAAAATGGCAATGCTGTCCAGCAGAATTATCGCTTGGAATCTGCCAACAGTAATGATCGCAAGAGCAAGTCTCGCAGGATGAAGGTATGTCCCCACCAGACTGGCTTAACAGTTAAATAAGTGAGAATGTGTGCTTATTTCCAAAATCTCAACTGTTACATAGGATAACCTGAATTACTGTAACTTTTTCTCACGTAACATGAATATTTCATCTTCTTATATTAGAACTAGTAGCTGCAACTTAACTTCTGGCTTCAGCTATATTGCTGAAAGATGGAAAGGTCAAAAGGGCATAATCAGTAGTTTTCTTTTATACTTATGTTTTACACTATACAGGTAGCCCTCGACTTACGCCGGGGATGCGTACCTGGATGAACCAGCGTAAGCGGAATCAGCGTAAATTGAAATTTTTCTGTAATGTAAATCAATGACATACGATCCCAGCACCCAAACATTGACAAGTAATATAATGGCATTACATTTAAAGATCTGACATAACGTAAATAAAGTAAAGGGAATTTAAAAAATTTATTTTATACACTTACAATCGGCAATTCGTTGGTCCCCGCGATTGACTGCGATTCTTTCATGTGATGTGTACAGTCATCTCTGCTGTCATGCGATAGTTGCATTCATGTAAGACGCCGACCTATAGAAAAGTGCGTAGTTAAAATAACCCCGGTACCTCTGCAGAGATTAAATTAGTCCTTTGAAAATTTAAAGCGTCCAGAATGAAATTGCATAAGAGCAAACTCGCATATGCAAAAGTTTGCATTTCACAAACAGCTTTTACTGATTCATCGATCTCATTGGAGCAAATTTGCGTTAACGAAACATACGTAATTGCAGAGATGACTGTATTTATAATTTTTATTCAAAATCAGCGATGTAAGAATTACAATTTAGTATAGAAGCAGTACGAGAGACATTGTTAAACATTATAAATAATAGTAAAATATATTTTTTTTTCACTTTTTTACTTTCTGGTTTCAAATCATTCTGAATCGGCACAAATTAAACCGGCGAAAATCGAGTGCTACCTCTCTGTATTTTGTTAACTAAAGGAACTATAAAACACTAGCAGTGTAGGCACACACTGTAAGCAGCATGTGCTGCTTTTGTAGGCTATATGTAATGCTTTCACATCTGATGGTATACATGGAAGGAATGGGTTATCTGTATGTTCTGTTACTTTGTGATCTTCCCCTCTCTTCCATGTGTGATGTGTGTATTGGTTATCCAGACTTGAAGTTGTGTTGCTACTGTGAGGTTACTGGCTTTTGATATCTCAACAGTAATGTTTTAATAGTGTTTGTTCCTGTTACTTCATTCAATGTTTGTATTGAAATGCTAACTGGGTCACCTATTTTGTGCTCTCATTTTAAGTTTTTCTCAGTTTCAAGTAAAATATGTTCAACCATTTGGCTCTGTATGACAGACAGCAGTTCAGGATGTTTGTCCTGCCCCTTAGCATTATATATTAAGCTTTCTTGATCACAATGTATGAGATATGCCATAAAGATGGCTGTTTTCTGGGTTGTAGCACCTTGTAGTCTGGTAGAAGTTTACTGATGTTTCAGAGGCACTTGGTTCCTTCATAATTGCTACAACCCAGAAGTTAGCCATGTTTAGTCTTGAACCTCAAATCCTTCTGAGATAGTGTAAGGGTGATACATTGTGAATTAAATATTGTTAATCAGTTACATTATCACAGAAATGTTTCAAACCTTATCAAACACATGCTAAGAAAACAAGACAGTTGTTGAATTATGATAGATACTTTTCTGGTTTGTGTGTTAGAATTTATTGCACATAAAGGGCTATCGTAATTTTATCTTTTTACATGTTACATTTCCATCTTACTTGTGGGGAAAGTTTGTCCTGGAGGGCAGTTACATGTTAATCACTCGAGCTTTGTGAACATAATGTATGTTGTTTTGCAGGCAAACAACGATCACAATGTAATCATGTCTCAAAACATTGAAGGTTTTCGTGGTGATAAGGACATCGAGTTTTTGATCAAGTTTATTGAGTCAAACACAGAGGGCAAGGGAAAAACGAAGAACAACTCTGCCCATAGCAATGGGCCAGTAGGCTTTGGCAACAAACAACCGCGAAATAATATACGAAGAGAAGATGTGGTTACTGGGACAAAGGCTCGGCGAGAGAGAGCTGTTGAAGATGGGCATGATGAAGAGAAGGCATCTGGTAGGAATAGGGTTGGGAGCAAACAGAGTTCCAAAGATCATAGGGGGAGTGATAAAATTGGTAGTGGTGGACAGCTGAAGAAATCAAATAGTTTAGAGGAAATCTCCAAAACAAAGTTGGAGGACTTAACAGCAGAACAAAGTGGCACAGACTCAACATGTAATTCTCTGTCTTTCTCAACTCAAATATCACTGCGACGACCAAAGAAACAGGCAACACTAGATGACGAAATGTACAGTGAGAAAGACCATGTGGTTAATCATAGGTTATGGGGTACAGGAGAAATGCAGCATTATTACTACAATGATGGGTCAGCCACATTATCATCTGATGAGTGCAGCACAGTGGCTACTAGTGGTCGGAAGCGACGGGGAATTGGGGATGAGAAGAAGAAAACTGAAGATGGAGTACCAGCTGTTGTGGTCTCTACTACTGCATCTGAAGAAACAGAGTTCCATGTTGTGACAAAAAAGCAGAGGCGTAAGAAGAGGCGTAGTAGTAGTGGCAGTCGTGCTGGTAGCAGTTCTGGTGTACATGGAGGTCTTTTTGGTGATGAGAATAGGCGCCCAGCTGTGTCACAATATGGACACTCTTATTACCAAAGCAGAGCAGATTGTAGTTCTTACTACCAACGCAAGGGCTTCCCACCTGGAAGTGGTTTTCCCCCACATGACCGTACAGTAGAACGTGAAGGGGGTGGAGTTATGCTATATCAGTATCGGCATCATCATCGTCCAAGGTCACCTGAGCATATTCGCCGCAAGTCAACATCCAGCATGCCCCCATCTGACAAGTCAGACAGCAGTGATCTCGATAGTGTGCACTCCCTTCCTGTGTCTTCTACAACTCCTAAACTAACCCTGGATCAAATGTCCACATCTAGTGGATCAACACCGCAAGCTTCATATGCTGACATCACTCGTATGGCATCTTCAAATGTGAGTTCTTCTTCCAGCACACAGGGCAGCTGCAATATGAATGCAGGAAAATGGCCCATAGTGTCTGCAACTAAGAGTCAAGCAATTACTTCACCAGCCATTACAACCTCTACCTCTACCACTACAACCACAACCATATCCTCCACACCCATTTCTTCTACTAATGCTACGCCCACTAGTACTGTCATCACTTCCAGTACCACCTCATTCCCTGCAGTAGCTACACCTCTTGCCCTGAACAATCCACAGTTCATAACTGGGCCAAAACTCAACATTGGAGTTCCTCCTGTTTGTGGATCCAAGGCAACTACATCCACCCCTGCCAATCCTACAAATAGTACATGTATTAATAGCAATAATACTATACCCCAGTCTACATCTCCAGCTTCAGTTACCACAGGTGATGCATCATCATTGACTCTAAATCAGAACCCTGAGACTTCGTATGATCCTGCATTATCTTCCAGGCATCGAAACACTCCCTCTCCTGATCCCCGCTCCAAAAGAGATGCAACTACCAGCACAACCTTGGACTATAAACTGATTCCTCTTGAAGAACATAACTCAGGTCACAAACTACAAACTCCAGTAAATAAGCCTGCTGAGCATCAGTTGTCTTCACCAAATGTGATCATGGACAGCTATTATCCTTCATTGGAGGAGAGTTTTGTTGCAGACAAAGTGGACCGTAAGCCAGGCAGGTGTAATAATTCTTGTCAAAACAGTACTTCCAGCAGGTTGCCTGCAGAAGAAAACCCCCCCTCTGCTGTACCCCCTTCTAATGTCAGTGCTTCAAATCTTGAGAACTGTGGTAAGGGATCCAGACACCAAGATATCTGTGGTGAAATAGGATTGAAGCAGCAACATGTAGAAACAGCTGTGATAGTTCCAATGAGCAGCTCATGCTGTGCTAGGGAACCAGTTGCACCAGAAGTGTCTGTTGCTAGTGCTGCTACTGTGATGGCTTCAAACAACCAATCAAAGGAGGTGATGCTTAGGTCCAAAAGTTGTAGGAAAGTTTCTGGTGCTGGCAGCATTGTTGTTGCAACATCTTCAGTTCGTCCGCCAGTCATCATAATGGATGAACAGGAGCAGGAAGCTGCTTTCAGGGAAAATGTAGGAACAGTTAGTGGATTGACTTTTGGGTTTGAAGTGAATGAACAACTTCTAATGTCGGATGGTGATGATAACTCCCGCTCTCCCAGTGCTGAACCACCCAGCACTGTGGAGGAAGCAGTGGTCAACACTAGCCCGACAAGTGGATGCATAGCATCAGACATGCCACTTCCAGATACTATGACTGCAGCACCCAACATGACCAGTAATGCTGGTGAAGATTTCTCTGCCCGGTATCGTGAACCGGTTTCACAGCAGGCTGACAACCATGATCTGATTGTCACATTTGTTGGTCTTGGTAAGTGAAAGTTTTTATTGTGTTTTTTTATGAATTTCCTAGAATTTACTGCTGTTCCAATTTTAACTTGTTTCATTTGCAAACAAATTAGCTGTTATTTTAGATAGTGATCTTATGGGTTGAGCCATGTAGTCTTCAAGTATGAAGGTGGAGGTAGCCTGTTCTCTTGAATCATTGATATAGAACCAAGAGGCTACGTGGCACAGTGACCCATATGACCACAATTGAAACTCATGTTGCTGTGAAAACTTCAAATCCTATACAAGCTAGCTGTTCATTCTTTTTATCTCTCCTCCTTCCCCTTTTGCTAGAGCTTTCATGTAGAAACAGTACATATTTTAAAAAGTGGTCATGAATGTGTAATTAGTGAATAAGCGATCCTCATTATTGTCACCAACTTCTTCAATGAATATTTATGTGGGTTGTTTGACTATTCTGACCTTTGTTAGTAAACATACCAAAAGAACCATAATTCCATGTTGCATTATATTCAGGCATATGACCCACCAACCTGCGTATTTTCTCAAGTTTCCTTTCAAGATTTTAGGATTCATTCCCTTAATGGTGCTAATGTTGCAGCCACCTGAAAAGACTGGTTGCAGAAATTTTATAATTTAAAGTAATAAAAATAACATGTGGCATTAGGATGGTCTCCAATTGCTTGGTCATTCTACCAAGAATGTTTTTTTCTGGGGGGGGGGGGGGGGTTTGTTGTTTTTTT